GTGGTTAAGATACAGGGCTGTCACACCAGGAGGACAGCTGGTCCAGTGGTTAAGATACAGGACTGTCACACCAGGAGGACAGCTGGTCCAGTGGTTAAGGTTCAAGGACCTCAACAGAACATGAAATGAGAGCCCTGGAGTTACATCAAGGCTGGCGCTGTGTGAGTGGCAGGGCTGTGCCCTCTGACTCATGGATAACCTGGGATGCAGCCGGGTTGTTATCTGTGTAGGAGAGTGACAGTTTTATTGGCTGGCAGAACTCCAGCGCACACTTGGAATTCCTGCATTTAATTCCCGGCTGGGCTCCCTGGGACATTCCATAAATGGTACGTCTGGGTGGTCACAGTACACTCCGGGCAGGAATGCTCCAATTTGGATCAGCTGGCATTGGAAAGCAGTCTGTGGGATTAAGAGCCGGAAACCCAGACTCCCCACCCCACACTTACACCACACATTTACACTGTAAATCAGTTGAAATCCAGGCACCTTCCCACAGTGCTCTGTTCCTCTGAGACATTTCCTGTTTGTCTCAGTGCAGAGTGTGCAGACTGCACACTCTGAATAGGACACACTGCAGTCTGCAGACTGGAGTGTCCTATAGAGAGTGTGCAGTCTGCACCGGAAGGGTGTCCTATAGAGTGTGCAGTCTGCACGTACAGTGTGTCCTATAGTGTGCAGTCTGCTCGTGCAGTGTGTCCTAGTGTGCTGTCTGCTCGTGCAGTGTGTCCTATAGAGTGTGCAGTCTGCATGTACAGTGTGTCATTTAGTGTGCAGTCTGCTCGTGCAGTGTGTCCTATAGAGCCTGCAGTCTGCTCGTGCAGTGTGTCCTATAGAGTGTGTGCTGTTTGTACCTCCGTCTCTGTGTGTATGTGACAGTGACACACTCAAGACCCATCTGTGTCAGGGAAACGTAATTTTATTATAAATCTCAGATAGATGCAAAGAGATGCAAACACTGTCCCCTGCTGGACAGTCTGTATCAGTGCACAGAGACAGCAACAGCCCACTGCTGCCCTTGTCCTCTCTAAAAACAGGATGAAAGAAACAGCTCGGATAAACCCTGCTGCTCCAGGACCGGACCGGACCGGACCCTCTCACTCCGTGAGGTAGAAGTGCATCTTGTCGCCGATGCTCTTGCGCTCCGGGTTCAGCCTCTTCAGGATCTGGGCCAGCACGTTGACCGTCTGCTCGCTGCTCAGGCCCGTGCGCTTCGTCTGGAACTTCTTCAGCAGGTCCTTGGTGGTCATGGGCTTACGGATCAGGTACCGGCGCACTGCCTCCTCGGTCAGCTGCACATCGCTGAGGGAGAGGGGTTAGAGAGAGAGGGGTTAGAGAGCTGGAGGGAGAGAGAGAGGGGGGGGTTACAGAGCCGGAGGGAGAGAGAGAGGGGGGGGTTACAGAGCCGGAGAGAGAGAGGGGTTACAGAGCCGGAGAGAGAGAGGGGTTACAGAGCCGGAGAGAGAGAGGGGTTACAGAGCCAGAGGGAGAGAGAGAGAGAGGGGTTAGAGAGCTGGAGGGAGAGAGGGGTTACAGCCG